TCTGCCATCTCATACAATTGACATGTTCTAACCAACAGAGGCATCTGTCTCAGAAGCACGAACACACTGGGTACCTTGGCCCACCATAGAACAGCAATGTTGGAGATTTTGTCATGCCATGTTATGCCCAGGATATGGTGGAGACACTGCAGATGGAAACTGTTCAGTTTTCTTATTCCTTAGCATAAGGAGTCCATGTTTTGCTGCAGTACAACAGACAGCCAAGTATGGCACTTTTCTACCTACCTATATATAGTCTGAACTATGCATTAGTTTAAAGCCACAAGGCTCATGGTTTACCTTATAGCTCATTGGGCTGGGCCCCAGTGGAGTCAATAGTGTTTCAGGCGATTGTGGCCCCATAGCTCAGCATGTGTGTGTACTCCAAATACCTGTCACAAAAGATCCATGTACTACTTAGCACCTGACTCATGACTGGAACTGGGTATTGCCCTCTAAAAATGTATATGCAGATGAGGTGCAGGGCAACCTGGTCCAACTCTACCTCATGGAAGGCGGGGCCACTATAATCATATGCAACAGGCTGAGAAGGGGGTTAGAGGGATTCTGGGTAAACTATCTGGGGCTCTTTCTGGTGATGTCAGACATTTAAGGCTGATGGAGAAACAGGAAATGGGAAAAAGGTGCAGCTCAGTTGGGGGAGTGAAAAAGAAGTGTAGATGTATTCAGTGTAGTGGCTCACCATGACCTGAAAGGGTTGGTGCTGAGCAGAATTGCATGCAATAGGCACCATCATATATCTTGTTCAGATGGGCTGCACCAGCCTATCTTAGTAGTAAGTTCCCATCAGTATGTTTGCCCAGTATGGACCATGTGTTTTACAGCCATGCTCAGGGTTGGCTACAGCCTTACTGTTGGTTTCCATTACTGAACACATGCTGCTTTGGGCAGCAGTTTAATCAGAGGCAATGTATTTAACGAGGTTTCCTTATATGCGATTTATAAGGTGAGGGGCTCCCCCCCCGTGCTAATTAGGGAGGGCGGGGGAGGAAATCTTGTCTTCTATTCAAATAATACAGTAGGTTTATGATATCTGCACATTCTCAAAAGGCAACACCATTTTAAACTGCTGTAACTGGTTTTAGTATGGTAAAACAACTCTGACATCATGGCACACCTAGAACTAAAGGGAAGTGTATGAATATCAAAGCTGACAAGTCTGTTTTTTAAGTAAAACCATTGTGCTTTAAAAATTAAAAGATATACTTTTGGAATAAGATTCCAGGGGTATAACCCAAAAAGGTAAAGTCCTGCTTAACCACAAGAGACGGCTCCTTCACAAGTTTAACAATGAAAGTTAAACATTATTTTAGAGAAAATAACCTCTCACTTCCAGACAAATTACTAATGATTTGTAGATACTTTTTCTATACAATCCAGCTGATGTAAAGGAGCATTCAGTGTTTTCCAAACATTGCTTTATTGGACAGGTCATGTTAGACTTCACGTATATGGCAATTGCATAATTGAGCATTTCTCTGAACAGGATATTGGTGGAAGTGACTATCACACATCAAACATCTTTCAAAGAAACCTTTAAGATTGTTCATAAAAAACATTTTGATACTTCCCATCATTAATAATGTCCTTGCATCTTGCACTGAAAATGTAACATTAATATATCCAACAATTCCCCAACATTGCTCTTTCTTTGCTTGTGACATCCTCTGCTATTCTGTAAATAATGAAACTCTGGAAAGTAGCTTTTTTCCTGTCAAAGGTCCGTTGATCCTTGTGAATATCCTCACCTAGCAAAATGAATTCCTTTGCATTAAAAAGTACTACCTTGTATCCATGACAGCCAGACTGATGTCGTCTTTGTCTTCTACGTTTTAAAGGAGCTTATTTCCATTACAAAAGATATTCCCAATTGTTAACAACTGCAAATAAATCACTGCTTCATGGCTATTTCATCAATTACTCCCTTAGCACGATTTAGTTGAATAAAGGCCAGTCAAAGAGATGCACATTTGTTACCTTATGGTGCAACATCCAAAGCATCAAAGCAAAGGCCCAATTTATCCTCCAAATTCAGGACTATCTTTCTCTTCCATGTCTTCTGGCTCTGGGTCATGCAGGGAAGAGCTGTCCATTTTGAGAGGGAAGCACTTCTTTCTTAAAAGACTATAAAATACAATTGTATTACAACTCCATTTTTCAGAGTGATTCAGTCTAGTCACCTCTATGGAAAAAAAAGCCTCTTGAAAAAGACATTAGGACTGGGGTGTTAACCCCTGGCCTGCTGGCCACATCTGGCCCAGGGGCTGCCCATGAGTAGATGGGGAGTCCTGTGGCCCTGTGTGCTAGATTGGGTGTAAAGCATGGGGCACGATCCTGATACATGGGGCTGGGTGGAGACAGGCCCAATTCAGGCACATGGGTGTGACACAGGGATGAAGCCTGGCATATAGGATCTGATCTGGCCCACAGATCAAATCTGAGCCATTCATTCGACATTGAGCATTGCTACATTAGATGACTCCCATATGGTCGGGAAGTCCTTAGTCCATAGCACCAGGAAGAATTTTCTTGAAGGTGATCTTTCCCTTTAATCAAGGATATGGCAGCAGTTGTGAGCCCATCCCCACATCAGAACTACACTCTAGAGGTACTCTAGCCAAATAATCAGAAAGGCCATGTGGCTTGAAGCTTACTTCCACTCATTAAAAAAATACTATAGCACCAGAGGGAAAGGAGAAGAGATTATGATGATTGAGTGAAAGCCCCAAATTATTACAAGCAGATTTTGGAGTAGTAGAGGGCATAATAGGGCAGATCAGTGATACAAACTCAATTCAGGAATGTACTATTTGGAGTATGTATGAAAGACAATGCAAGGCCTTTAAATTTATGAGAGCTATGGAGATAGAGCAGTTATTCGTTGCAGTTGTGACAGCCTTAAACTAAGGAGATAACACCCATGATGCTGTCTTTAACTTTGTTCCTTCTTTTCTTTAATTTAGAATAGAAGCAACTCATACTGGAAAAATATGGTTTTAAGCTCCGTGTATGGAGAAATATCTAGTTTTCATTTTGTGCCCACCAGATCTACTGTGGGTACAATAGGTGGTCAAAGAATCAGCCTCGGTAGCCTAGTGAAGCTGAATAGTCCTGAAGGTAAGTGGGGTATAACATGCTTGACTACAGCATCTGATGATAAGCTTTCTTCAAATTCTATTTTTAGTTATCCTCTTCACATTCAAAGCCATTATATATCAATGTTAGCAGTGGTCATAATTAATACATCACTAAGACAATACTCTGGTCTGGGTCTCTGACAACTTTCTGATGCAGGCTAATGGATGGAGGGGACATTTTCAAATTACTTTATGGAACAAAGATCTTGAGATCTGCTGACTTCCAGATTTGTTAGAATAGTCAGACTTTAAATGATATTTTGGTTATTGTCCTGATCTCCTTAATCTGTACTGGCCCATGAAGATTTCTACAACCATGCCATAAACCACCAACAGGCAACAGAATTACATTTTTTGGAAACCAAACAATGGTGAAAAAGAGCTGGTCAAAAAAAGAGGTAAATTACAGAGGCATGCTCTTCCCTTTCCCACTTCCACCCAGAAGTTGTTTGTAGCACATGAAACACTGAGAATAACTGTGCTAGAGGATAACAAACAAATTTAAAACATTGTGGGGATGTGACAAAAAAATAATTCCCAAGTATGTTACATTATTTTAGTAAAAGGTTTGAAATTAGGGACTGGAGATCACTATCTGCAGCAAAAGTTACTCAGAAAATGCATGAATCCAGCTTCTAAAAAAATAGGGTTGGGAAAAGAAATCCCTAGGGTTTTTTTTTTTTTTTTTTTTTTTTT